GTAGTGATTTTACTGAATGTGAAAAGTCAATGCATTTTTTGTAAGTAGGTTGTGTTTGTGGTTGTTTATCAATGATTCCAAAGGATGAGTTTGCTGAATTATATAAACCCTTTCAAAATCGGAACAAGACGATCCATCTTATAGCAATCAAAAAAGAACTTTGAAAATACCAGAAATCGTCTAATAAGCAATGGCCTTATATCAAGAGTCAATTGTGGCAATACTAAAAGAATACCTCAATGAAACCAAAAATGGTAATCAACAAAAAATATTTCTGTGTCTGTAAAGAATTCTCAAGAAAATTACGCAGAAGCTCATGGATTACCAAGCCTAGGGAGAAATTAACTCTATTACCATTCATATTCTTACCAACAGAAAGGCAAATAAAAGAGCAAATAAAAAACTTACCGAACAAAATCAGCTGACATAATAATTAATAAGAATGGGGAACGAGGAGATCCAAAAATAAGAGCTTTATTGAATAAAATTGAAAGAGATAATAAATGACAAGGTTAAGCAATATCAGTAATTAGAAGATGAGAAAAACATGAAAATAGAAGACTTGAAAAACGAAATACTTTAGATGAAATCACTCACTAGCTTGAAAAGCAACTAAATATTTAAAGGAGAACTGAATTAGTTAAATAATAAAGCATTATTCAAGATTTAAGAAAAGAAAAGGCTAAATTTTGACCTGAGTAAATAAAGCTGAAGCAAACATTAAGTTTAACATGGATTTATACTTTTGAATTTATCGTTTCCAATTATTCTTATTCTATACGGAGGATATAAGATTATTATGAAACTCATTATTTGTTATGGATGATAAACTTATTTTTTATTTTCAACCGTCAACTTTTATCGATTATTTCCATATTATTACACACTTGTTTTTTTCTCTCACTCTAAATTTATATATAGTTATTTATTTTCCAACGGATCGATTCCTTCATCGTCCGACCAAATTTTATAATCGGGATCATCTCCAAACTCTATATTTGACTCGTCTTGCCAGTTAGAATCTGTTTCAAATCGATATGAGGCAGCTTCCGATGTGCCATCTTCCTCTTCGGTAAAAACAGGTGCTTCTCTCTCTGGATCACGTGGTGATGTTGGAGACGGTGGATCCTCTTTAAATTCTTCTTCCTTATCTATCAACTCCCCTGATTCTCCTTCTGATTGTTGTTGTTGTTGTTGTTGTTGTTGTTGTTGTTGTTGTTGGGCAGGCTCTTTAACTAGCCCAGTTTCCAAGTCAATGTCTAATTCATCATAATCATTGTTATTATATTCTTTCTCTGTTATAGAAAATTTATGAGGATCGATTATTATTTCACTTGGACAAACAATTTTAGCAGGTGACTTTTCCTCCTCTCCCCTCTCCCTTGTTTATCGTTATTTCCCTGATTTGTTGATAATGATAATTTTTGTAAGGCTTTAACTTCCATTTCGAGATTATCACCTGACACTTCATTAAATTCTAAAATATCAGTTTCATCAGGGTGAAATGATGGTGCAAGTATTTCATAATGTTCATCAACTCCATCACCACCGTCATTATTATCATCACAA